GAACCAAAGCAACCGGAGCCTGACTGCTTTGTTGAAGCAGCCACTTAAAGAACTGAGCTACGGGGCAGGCCCCCTATTCTTATTTTCTAATCAAGAAAAAAAATAATAGCACCCTTTGGACTGGGATATAGGTCAGTAGTAGATCGCTTACCCAGCATCAGAGAGGAAAATAAAAATGAAGTGCCAAAGTGGTTTGCTCAGGATTCTTCTAATCCAAAAATGAAAGACATATCAGTTAGGCTTTCAGTACCCAAATCAATACCTTTTCAATATACTTGGTAAAGCTGTTGCTAAATTCTGACTGTAGGGCCTTTATATTGCTGAAAGAAATGGGGATTTTGAAAAGTATAAAATTTATGCACATTATAAGGGATTTTGATAGTAAAATAATTTGGATGTTACATCATCCAATATTTTGTAAGGAATTATCCCCTTTACCTTTTGGTGAACTTTTTCCTAGATAAGATCAGAGACTTGTAAAACCATCAAAAATAATGTAGCATGAAACTAGCCAACTTTTAATTTTATAATGGTGAATTACTAAAGATATATTAAAATAATCAAGAAATTGATCACTTCCAGTTTCTACGTTTTATGATCTTTTGTCTCTCAGAACTCAGGCGTTAACCAATGATTTATCTATCTAAAATAAAAGTAAAAGATTTAAATTAATTCTTTCAGAATATTTCCTTCCCCTAAAGAGAAAATATAAATTATATTCATATAGTTGAGTTACATATTTGCATTAACAGCATATAATAAAAAAATGTTTTCCCTGTGTTCAAAAATCTAAGCAGCCTCTGTGGTTGTAGGCCGGCAAGATAGCTGAGTGGACTAAGCGCCTGCTTTGGCAAGCACAACGACAAGGATTCGATCCCTGGTCCCACATCTCTTGCCAGCCCCACCCCCCGGAGCATGCTGAGACTCAGACAAGTCCAGGGGTGGTGGCGCAGACCTATAATCCCAACACTGGGGAGGCTGAAAACAGAAGGATCACTACAAGTCTGATCTATGTAGTGAGACCCTGTACCAAATACATAAATGAAAAAAAAAAAAAAAAAAGATCAGTAGTTGTTACTTGATTATACAGTTCTTTTCTGGTCACTTTGTCTAAGAACAAAAATGTAGCTTAAAAAAAAAAATCTCTAAAACAGAGACAGAAGAAGCTGTTGAATCGGTGAATAGGCCAAGCTATCGAATCTCTTTTTGCTTTGAACTTGGCCCAGTGTCATTTTGGGTATTTCCTACTGTTACATGACAGAAAACGATAATGCTTGTGTGAACTTGCATTAGTAGACAAATGGGCAGAACTGGAAGCAGCAAATGGAAGTATTTTTGAAAGTATGAACTTAAAAGCCTCCCTGGCAAATTAAGCCTTGATCCCATGGTTTCTTTTCTTTTCTTTTCTTTTCTTTCGTTCTTTCTTTTTTTTCATGAAAGCATCTACTTTGCAAGATGAATTGATTAAAATAAATCACTAATTTCTTAACTGACAGTAATTAATTTAAAAAGATGATTATATATACCATATAAAATGTCAAACTCATAATCATAATTTTTGTGGCCTCAAACTTCTAGGGCCCCCCTGGATCAATAAAACAGAGAAAGCTTTCTTCAGAGGTAGAGATAGTCGGGAAGAGAGGCTGCAGTTGGTACAGCTGGCCAAAGAAAACCCACAGCTACTAGATGCAGGAATTACAAGCTATTTCTTTTTCCAAGAGAAAGAAAAGGAGCTTGGAAAAGCCAAGTTAATGGGCTTTTTTGATTTCTTTAAGGTATGTATTTGAGCCTTCCTCTGTGGCTATGAAGTATACACATATATTTAAGGTCTGCCAGGCAGAGTGCCGAGCGAGATTCCTCTGTCCTGTGCACTAACACACACCATCTCACTTTCTCACTCACTGAGGGGGCTATACAAAGGCCCTTGCGCCTTTTGTCGCTGTTAACTTTGTCCATCAGGTACCTCAGAACCTCTGTATAGCTCATGGTGCAAGTATAGTAAAAGGGTTAACACGGGGCTTTGGTGTTTCTCCTTTCTTTATATCAGTTTTAATAAACTGGGAATGTAAATGTCTTGTTTATGAAATGCCCTCAAATGTCTTTCGCAAATAAAGAGCATACGTTTTATACATATTAAACAGGAGCTACATCTGGACTTCAGGTCCTGCTGCTAGTCCCGCCTCTGCCACTAGCCATGGGACTTTTAGCTGCTGGTGCCTCTGCTACCCAGTCGCCTGTGCTGCTGCCTCTCTCCTTCAGAGCATTACCACGAGGCCCACAGAGACAGAGATGTGGAGTGTATGACCACCGCTGCCCAGCTAGGAAACTCCTTTGTACCAGCTAGTTCAGAAGCAAGGGGCTGGGGATGTAGCTCACTGGTAGAGCACTTGTGTAACATGCACAAGGCCCTGGGTTCCATCCCCAGCTCTAGCTGTTCATCAGTCAGTGGTCGGTCGGTCAGTCGGTCAGTCGGTCAGTCGGTCAGTCAGTCATTCGTTCATTCAGCCAGTCAGTACCAGATCTGAGAACATACCCTTTTTATCTCAGGCTGTTATAATGAAAAGAAACAGGCATTTGGAGTCATAATAAAGGTTTATAAATTTCTCTGGACATGAATTTCTCATTTAAAAAAATACCTGTCTCATATTATACCTGTATGAGCTTTAATGCCTATGAAAAGTAGTTTTTGTTTTGGGGGGCTTTTTTTTTTTTTTTTTGCACCAGTGATTGAACTCAGGACCTTGTGCTTGCCTGGCAGGCACGTAAGCCACTGAGCTGTCTCCCTAGCCCTGAAAAGTGGTTTTAAAATATAAATCAAAGCACCTACTTCTGCAATGTCTCCTCAACTCTAAAACTAAAAAAGAGATAATGCCTGCCTATTTCATGGATCAAGTATAAGGAACAAATGAAATAATGTATAAATGAAAGTATAAATTGTTATCAGTGTTCAACTTTAATAAACAAAAATTTTGAAAATAATTTTAACAGCTAGTTACAAAAATTTAATTTCCTATTAGATAGATGTAATCGAAATAGATATTCATTCTTATTTAGTAAAATTATCATCTTTAAGTGCATTGCATTTCTTAGAATTGATCTGTTATAGGCTGCTTATGATTTTAATACAGAGAAAAGTAAGTTGCAAAGTAGAATTTTTAAACACAGAATTTGAAAAATGGGAAACCATTCCTCTGTATTTTGTATTACAACGTTAAGGAGAAGCAGAAGTGAAACAGGTGACTATGCAAAGTGTTTTTTGCTAAGTTTCCTGTGTTTCACCTCCCAGTACAAGTACCAAGTGAACGTGGATGGCACGGTGGCTGCGTACAGGTTTCCATATCTCATGCTCGGGGACAGTCTGGTTCTGAAGCAGGATTCTCCATACTACGAACATTTCTACGTGACCCTAAGACCTTGGAAGCACTATGTTCCAGTTAAAAGAAATCTTAGTGACTTACTAGACAAAGTTCAATGGGCCAAGGTAAGTTCTCTGCAGTTTCATTTCTTTAGGCAGTAACAGGTCCATCAGCCTTGGTGACCTGAATTTTGTCACAACACAGGTGAACTTAGCATAATGGGATCAACAGAAATACAATTTTCTGAGATTTTTTTGTTCTTTCGAAATAGCAACATCAGAATCATTTTGTATGCCCTCTGTCAACATTTTTGAAGATTTCTGGGTTTTAAGTCCAAGGTTACATACAATATGGATTTTCTGAATGAATCACTGTTGGTACTTATATGCACCAAAAAGAATACACAAAATGTAAATCACATATTAAAATGGCCAGTTAGAGGACTTTATGGATAACAAAATGTTTAAAGTAATTACAGTAGTTTGGTTTTACTCACATAAATAAAAGACAGGAATTCTTTTTTTTAAAAAAATATTTATTTATTATTTTTATTTATTACATTTATTGTGTGTGTGTGTGTGTGTGTGTGGCCAGCTCAGCCCACCAGGGGGCGCGGCTGGCTGGCATGTGGTGCTGGAGGATCGAACCGAGGTCCCTATGCTTTGCTAAGCTTGTTCAAAAGTAGGTGCTTTAGACCACTGAGCCATCTCTCCAGCCCAAGACAGGAGTTCTTAACCAGTGTATACTTTACAATATCTAAGAATTCAGTGTTTCCCATAAAATAGGAATTCCTTTCTTAAAAGGAATAGAATTTAAAAGCTCCTGTCACTTTATTATAAAACTATAAAAGTTCACTGCTACATTATAAGATTATTCTGATTCTGAGATCTGAAAGGCAATATTTGGTTTTGGAAATAATTGAGTAGAATCACTCAGCCACAGCTAGGGAAGTATGTGTACATAACCCCACTATTACGCTATAGTCCCATCGTGTCCCAGCTGTCCTATAGTGTCCACTTCCAACCCTACCCCTGTCCCCCCTCACACTTGCCCTTGGCTTTCTGGGTGGGCTACAGAAGTAATTTTCATTAATTTTAAAACCCTTTAGGAAAATGATGAAGAAGCCAAGAAGATTGCAAAAGAAGGACAGCTGGCTGCTAGGGACCTGCTACAGCCACACCGACTTTACTGCTACTATTACAGAGTCCTGCAGGTCAGTTCATGTGTCCATCCTGCGGGGCCAGATCCTTGGATCACACATGTGCTCTGCACACTGTCGCTTTCTTCCTAAACAAATCAGCCCGGGATCTCCATCCACTGAGGCCCCAGCCCTGGGAAGCAAGACCAGGGTCCAGGCCCTCTGCGGCTCCCCTCACCACTAGGAAAAACAGCCTGGAGCCTGTACAAGCACAAATCATTGACTCCTCCTGCCTTCCCACTGTGCTGTCAGTGTATGCCGCGGTGGGACTCCTCAGTTAAGTGTTTTTGATTCTTTTTTTTTTTTTTTTTTTTTTTTTTTTTTTTTTTTTTTTTTTTTTTTTTGAACCAGGGATTGAACTCAGGCCCTTGCACTTGCCAGGCAAGTGCTTATTCTACTGAGCCTTCTCAAAAGGCTTCTTTTCTCATGAGAGAACAAGCAGGTTGGTCCAGAGGTCACTGACCCCTGTGTCTGCTCAACTTGTTACTTTGTTCTCCTTTCTACACAAGATTCATGCCTTTCCCATCATAGTACCAGGTAGAGAGCAGATATTTAGCTTGCCAAATAAAACAAGCCATTGGAAACTATAACAGTCCTGAATTCTGACCCCCAAATATTTCTTGAAAATCAAATTATTTTCCTATTGCCAGAGTTAAAGGTAATTTCCTTATATGTCTGTGGACACTGCCCTTCAGAGGAATGACAGTGACACATTATGCCATTTACTAGAAGTGGCTCTTCCTTTCCTTAAATGAGTCCTGTCCTCTTTCTTGGCCTGGCTTTAATTTCAATAGGAGGCATTTCTTCTCCTAAAGTATTAATTTGGCTCTGGCTCATGTCACCATTTTGGTGGGTTTGACCCAGTATCAGGAATGGCCAGTTGATTTGAACACAGAACCACTGAAGCGAAACAGCCAACCCATAGGAGTATCTCTGACAGCAGTCAGAGGAGAAGGGCATTTTACAGGCATGTCACCATTAATAGACACAAATAACTCCGCTCCATCGGGGAAGGTGTGTGCAGCCACAGCTTTAGCTTGGAACGCTTGCCACCTCTGATGCCAGTCTCAGCACTGGACAGTTTCTTTCTCCTCTTACAAGCAGAGGAAAAATGCCACGAGCTGCTGTGCATTCCAAGTGAGGGCCTGTGGCCTAGCATCTCTCGGGGAGTCTTCCAAGTTACTCCTGAAGTTCGGTTCCTTGCTAGAGGGCAGGGTAGGGTGACCATATCAATAGAAATTAGGTGTGGACTGACCTTACATTCGCCTTGCCACATTTCAGCAATACGCCGAACGCCAGGCCAGCCCACCTGAGCTGCGTGATGGAATGGAACGTGTTCCTCAGCCAGATGACAACACGTCTGCCTGCCAGTGCCGCAGGGAAAGGCCTCAGAAGGAAGAGCTTTAGTGCAGCTTCCCAGTCACTCATGTGCACCCAGCTATGCCTTTGAGGGGAGACTTGCATAAATGCTAAGCGGTGAAGAAAGTACAGGGGACTCTACCCAGTGGGCCACTCTCTAGGTGGCTTTGTCCAGCATGGCTAGATACAGCAATATTTGAGCAAGTATTATCAGGTATCATTGGATATTAATTTTTTTAAAGTAAAAACTGCCATTATCAGCTTCAGAATTTCTCTGAAAAGAGTATCTGCAGATCACAGAAGACAGAGGCTTGCCAAAATATGTCACTCTGTTGATTGTTATGTTCATTGGCTTATTTCTGTGTTTGATTTACTTTCTTCTTCCAGTAATGAAGAGCAAATATTTTGTTTCCTCCTCACTACATAAGCTCCTTTGCAAGCTCTCTTAGCATTCAGTAATAGCAACTTCCCCTTGGAAAGTCTGGTGAGAATAGTTATGGAACAAGAGCATGATTCTTATTAGAGGTACCACAGAGACCATCAAGGAACTACTTTTATAAAGCACTGCTTATATATTATCATGTAATTGTTGAGATAAAGATTAAGGAGAGCTAGGTGTGGTGGTACATACTAGAAATCCCAGCATTCAAGAGGCTGAGGCAGGAAAATCATCATGAGTTTGAGGCCAGCCTGGATTACATGGTGGTTTTTTTGTTTGGTTGGTTGGTTGGTTTGTTTGGTATCAGAAATCAAATTCAGGACCTCATGCTTGCCAGGCAGGTGCTGTGCCACTGAGCTGCATCCCCAGGCCCCTGCACAGTGATTTTAACACCAATATGAACTACATAATGAGTCCCTGTTTCAAAAAAAAAAAAAAAATTAGGGCGAAATTATGCCTTAAGCTGGAAATTCCCATCCGCCTGGGTTGTGTACCCATCATGAACAACAGTTACTTGTGTAGGTAAAAGCATCTTCTGGGCATCTTTCATTATCTGTATGTTGACTGGGTGAAGAATAACTATACTCAGGTGCAAGTCTGTTTTTAAACATAAAAATGATCCTCGCAAACCTACACTAAGCTCCAGGAGTCCTGCTATCCTAGGATTTACTAGTAATCTGACAACAGCAGTCACACCACACCCTTCACCTATTTCAGTGGATTTCGTTACTAAGATAAAGACTTTGGAAATTGCCGCTGCCTTTGAGGACAAAGTCAAGACAGTATTCCTAGCCTAGAAATTCACTGCACACTCCTTGTGGTACTATCAGTCTAAGAACTGATAGAACATGCTCCAAAAACAAGAGCTAGCCACACTCTCACTGCAAAAATATTTACTCCCATAATTGAAATACAGGTTTAATCTGGAAAACAGTGTAACAGTATAAAATAATTTTAGGCTAAAACCAAAACCACATATTTTTTTTTCTTCCTAGAAGAGTTTTTGTTTGTTTGTTTGTTTGTTTTGTATTTTTTAGGGAAGGGTCTACAGAGAGGAGTGTAATAATATACAAGTAAATATAAGAACAGTAT